GGAGGTGGGGAAGAGTTTGGCGGTGCCTGTGCCTGCTGCGGAGGGCATCAGGCCAGGCCAGAAGCCTTCTCGGATCTCTGGAGAAGGGCAGGGAAGGCCACTTGGTATGGGGCGAGGGGCGAATCTCCTCACAGCTGAGAGCAGGTGGAACAGCTGAGTCCTTCCTCAGCAGTAGCAGGAAAGACCCCCCCCCCGGCCGGGTCCTGGGCCTGCACTCTCCATTCCTGTTATCCAGACCTCATGGGGCTTTGACTGGGAGAGAACTTGGACAGCAGTTGGTCTCCTCCTTTATAACAGGAAATGGAGAAAGAGAAGGGCAGTCTGTCTTGCCCTGTGGTCATACGTCCAGTGAGCATCTGAAAGAGGCCAGTCCCCTGCACAGGTGCTCCTGCACTGTCGCCACTGGGCAGGCTGAGCGTGTTCTGTGCCACAAAGCAGCATACACATGCTGGACAGACAAGTGGCTCCTGACACAGCGCTTGATGTTTCTCTGTACTGCTCAAATTCACAAAGAGCAATGTCCTTTAAACTGGCTCCGCAGCTCGCTCGCGCCCAGGGACGCCCGCAGTGGCAGAATCTGGGAGGTGGGCAGCTTTGCTAGCTGGACTCGGGCATTTGCTCAGTGTGACCTGGCTCAGTGGTAGAGCATCCGGGTCATAGAAGCACCTGTTCCCCCACCCGGCTCCTGCTGTGTGAGACCGCGTCTGAGGAGACAGGTGGACGTTGCCCCTCGAGGGTGCGCCATGCTTCCACCCAGCCTGGTTGGCCAGTGTGCTCACTGCATGAGGGCCGTGGCCACGGGTTGAGTGGGGCTGAAAATCCCACCTCTGTGCCTTGCTGAGCCATCAGAGACTCCGAGACACTGTGGGGCCCTCTGACACGTGGAGGGCTTCTGGGAGTCCCGCCCACAGTGAATCATGTTCAAGCCCGGCCCTGGGGGAGGGGGTCCTCCCTGTGATTATGGGCCGAGGTGCACGCCCAGTCCTCATGAGCCCGGGGCAGATGTTGCGAGCGGCCTGGGAGGAGGCAGGAGTCACTAACACGCTGCGTGTCTCCCCAGGGGCTTCTTTGGGTTTCTGCTGCGCAGGAAGTGCCTGTCGAGGGAGCAGAAGGTAAGTCCACCAGGGTAGGCACCGGGGAGGTGGGAGCGTGGTGTCCACCTGCCCCTCTCTTCTTCCAGGATGGCGACTCCTGCCTGATGCGGCCACTCTGGCTCAGGGACATGTACAGACCTCTGAAAACCTCCAAGAGTCATCACAAGAAGCAGGAAGACACTGATGAGGAGACTGAACTCAGGGGGGTTATTGTGTAAGCGGCTGGGCCTGGAAGAGGAGGTTGGGCAGGCCAAGCTGCTCCCTTCAGGGGAACAAGCCTCAGCCTATCTTTCCCACCCAGGGACCGCAGAGAAGCCCTGATGGAAGGGACAGCGCCAGAGGAGTCGGCGGAGGTCGACAAGGAGACGAAGTGACCCCAAGGGGAGTAGGCTGTATGGTGACTCCAACTAAAAAAAATAAAAATAAAAAACATCTCTTACAAGCAGTCCTAGCCATGTGATAATAAATTAAAATGTAAATAGCAAAATGTGTATAAACAGATAACAAGATCCCCAGGACAGGAGAGCAGGGCTGAGCCATCTTTCCCAGCAGCCACCATCCATGGGCCATGGGCCAAGGATTCAGGGCCCCTGTCGCTCCCAGTTCAAGTGGCATTGGAAGCCTGGCGACACTGTCCCTGGGTATGGGGCTTTCAGACCCCTCTCCCCTGTTCCCCAGGGACCGGTCACAGCACTTGGCCTCCTGCCCACAGGGACCGTCACCTTTGAGCTGCTCTCCCAGGGCTCTGGGCTGCCTGCAGCGTGGGCCAAGTCCTGCCTTTCCCCAGGTCCTCAGCTCATGCATGAATGTGTGGCCACCTTGGAAGGGGCGCCGATCCTCACAGGCAGTGGACAGTTCACCCTGGGTCTTTTCATTTGTTGGCTTTTCTATGTAGAAGCCCCAGCCCTTGGCAGTGGCAGGTGTTGGGGTGGGGTAAGGACGACCGTGAGAGCGGTCATTTCCCATGATGCCCTCCTTGGCCT